TAGCTGAAAAAAATGTAGTGTGTCCCAAAAAAGCACATACACACCCTTTGAATAATTATAAAGAAAGACAGTGTTTGTTAAAACACATTTCACTTTCAAAACTGAGCCAGCAGCTCTGAAAGTTTGTATACATTTTTTTGGGACACCCTGTATTAGTGAAACAGAAGTACATGTAATTCTCTAGACTTAGATATAGTCCAATTAAATCCAACACAACTTTATATGTAATTCTGATAAGTGACTTATAAATTGTTAATTTTAATTTATTTAGGTTATATAGGGAAATACTTAGGAATCTGGTCTGTTTCTGTTTTAGTTTACTTTTCAGAACACTGTGGTCATCAAATCTTTTTTGCTGTTTTGTTGTTAATCCCCATCTAAGGATATTTTCCCATTGATTTACAGAGAATGGAAGGCAGGAGAGACAAAGAGAGAAACATTCATGTGAGAGAGACATATGGATTCTCTGCCTCCCACATGTGCTCCTTCCAAGGCAGGGGATCAAGCTTGCAACTGAGGTCCGTGCCTTTGACAAGAATTGAACCCAGGACCCTTCAGTCCTCAGGCTGACGCTCTATCCACTGAGCCAAACTGGCTAGGAACATCAAGCACTTTTGATCATTCATCAAATGCTTGTCACTGCTGCATGTTGGTTTTGTCTAGCAGACCTCAAGTATAATCCAGTCTGCAGAGATATCTTTTTAGGTATTAAAGCTTTGAAAATATTTTAACGCTTCAAAATAAATACATGGAAATCCAAATATCATATTTCTTTCTAAAAAATGGGCAACAATTGACAAGTTAGCCAGCTTTTCAGGGAAGATCTAACAGTGGAGATTTCTACAGAGCTAAACCCAGGTGTGGTAGGAGGGCAAAGGTAACATTTTAAAGAAAAAAAAGAGAGATGCTTACTTAAATATTTAAAAGACTATATCAAATACAATAACTTGGAAAGAATATTTTACATGAGATCACAGAGTAATATATATATATATATATATATATATATATATATATATATATATATATATCTCTGCAAATCTTGACAATCTGTAACTAATCAGTAAGGAAAAAAACATAGTAAAATTTTAAAAATTAACAAATGGTAGAGATATGCCATTCCAAAACACAAATTCTAATTTTACAACTAGATAAAATGTTTAGGTTTAATGGTAATAAAAAGAAAATTCAAGCTGAAACAATAAAAATAGCTTTAGTTTTGTTGGCAAATATTTAATGTGTTTATTTTATTCATTTACATCTCAGTATTAAATGTTCACTATATGTTCTATCCAATATTAGCCAGGGTATGGGAAATACGCTCTCTCATGAGCATCGCTGCTGGTTAAAGCACAAGAGGCAGAGACTTTCTGGGGGGCCATTTTGCAGAGTGTATAAAAGATTTATATCCTTTCAGCAGTAATTCTACTCAACAGTCAAAGATGTTCACAATATTTTTATAGGAGGGTTTTCATGTGCAGCATCATTCACAATAATTAAAACTGGATTTATACCAAACTCCTAACAATAAGGGATTGATGAAATAATATGTAGAGGAATGCGGTATAGCTATTAAAAGTAGTGTTATAAAAAGGGAATATAATGACATGGGAAAATGCTCATGGCAGTCTGTGAAGTGGAAAAAAAAAACACGTGTTTTAAGGCACTATGTATACAATGATTTCATTCTGAAATAGTAAATAGATAAGATAGAAGAATAAACATCAAAATGTCACCAGCTATCTCTGGGTAATGTTCATGGGGGAGGAACTATTTACAGATGATTTCTATATTAATTTGCAAACTTTCTACAATGGACATTTGTTTTACTCTCAGATGTTCTAAAAAAAAAAAAAAAAACACGTAATCACAGAACTGTAGAGAAGCAAGATCCTTGCACTCTGCCATGGCTCTTTTGACAGGTTGTGGGTGTCCACGGTGGACAGACAGAGGCCAGCCTGCCTGCACCCTATGTGCTCTTCTGCCCAGAGTGACCTATTTACCCCACTCTGCATCACCAGGACTAAAGGCACTTCTTTGGTGACTCTCCTTTGAAAAACATTCTAAGCAGAAACTCTGCACTACCAAATAGCTTCCTGTCATCCCTTTCCTTCCCTGAATTAATCTGGGAATGATGTTCAAGAAAGAGGAATAGGTCTCTTTTGTTCCCTCATCTTCTACTCTCTCTCCACCCCAATTAGCTAACTCTCGTTATGGTAAATAATTCACTATTTTTCAGTTATATAGTACCTTTGTGTAAAGGGACAGTCTTCCCAAACGCTTGTTAATCCTAAACACACTCTTGGGGAAGTAGGTAAAAATTACTAGAGAGAAGGGAAAAGAGGGGGCAATGCCAAAGGCAGTAAAATATGTCAATAAAACCCCACACTTGTCTCAGTTTTCTGTCGGCAGAAATCTCTGCAATGCTGGAGAATGAGGATCTATGTTATGGACACTAAAGGGAGAAATGACTGGAGGGATAATACGGACTTCAGACTTCAGACATAAAGTGCAGACTTAATGCGTGGGTTACAGTGTGGTGAAAAAGCACAGACTGTGGGAGTAAGACTTCTGGATTCAATTTCTGGCTTCACTATTTACTAGATATGTGATACCGCGCAGGTCATTTAATTTTTCTGGCCTCAGTCTTCTCATCTAGAAAATGAGAATTCATAATAAAATCTAGCATACCATATAGTTTTAGGGATTAAATGAGATTATAAACATAAAGCATGAAAAACAACTCTCAGAAAATGGCAAGTGCTATAAAAGAGTAAGCTATTCTTAGTAACTCTAATGTAATATTATTTTAAAGGGACAGATTGAAAAGGAGACAAAGACTTGTATTATCCCTACATGATTCAACAGCAAACTTTATAGACTTCAGCAAAATGAGCAAAACTCTCCAAATCTCTAATTCTGGGTTGGCAGGAGGTGTGCTGAAAGGTTAGAGGTTATTACTGAGCCCCAACTGCTACAACTGAATTGGAAGAATGGTTTTCATATGCTCGGTCCTCTGTGTTCTAGGATGCTGCCTTCAGAAAAGTTGATCACCATTTGCTTTAAGTTAGTAATAGGGGCAACTGAGTTACTGTATAGCTAGAATTGGTGAACATACTGAATGGGAACACTGTCACTGACTGTTTGACCTTGGGTGTTTATCCCTCATCTACTCCATGAGAAAACTGACATTAGTTTATTGGAGTAGATTTGAAACCCCCTCTCCCTATTTGCCTCCTTATCATACACTAAATACTGCCGAAACACAGAATGTTGAGGTGTTTGTACTGCTTAAGACAAGCTTCCGCTGTACATCAGCAAAATAGTTTGGAAACTCTCAGAAGCAAAGCATCTTTGTTTCCCACAAGGTAAAAAAACATTGAATCTTTTGCAGACCTGGGCACTTGCTTGCAGTTGGGATGTTGAACAGGGTGGAGAGATAGAGACATGGGAAAAAGAGAAATATATTCTAGGACGGCTTTAACTCTTTTGTTTCTGATGAAATAAACACAAAAACTGTTTCCTGTTGCATTCACTCCCTGATACATTTCTGCTAACATAAATATGTCAGAAAAGGTCACATTTAACCCTGGCTGAATACCTAGTCAGGCATAATGAAAACTTTTTTGTCCCACTTTGATGATTGTATTTTGCAGTACTGTGACAGTGTGTAACATCAGATGAGTAATATCTGTAACCCTCATTTTACTGAAAGCTCCATGACTGACAGCAGATCAGTTTCATACATATATTTATGCACATATTCAGGCTCTTAATAAGTATAATTTGAATAGATGACGGTCCAAATAAGTGAACAAATCTGTTGTCTCAGATTCTGAGTCTTCTAACCTTCCCGTCAATGCATTAGGCATCACGTGTCCTATTACATTACTTTTATCACATTAATAAAGTGAGAGTTTTAAAATTTAATTGTGCTTTTATGTAACGCACACTATTTGTTCTTAAATATGAAGACATTGCTCTGCTTAATGCTCCTGTGTGACTGTGGTTACAGGCAGCAGTAGAGGATGTTACAAAAGAAGCCTCAAGATGTCCATGTCTCTGCCCAAAGTTAGAACCTCTTATCATCTTGAGTTACACTCAGGAAGTGATTTATTTGCCAAAAAAAAAAAGAGCAATTCTCCCTATCACCACAGTGCAAGAAGTCAGGGCAGAACACAGAGCATCTGGCCTGAATCAGAGCACGCGGATGAGAAGAGGCAGCCAGAGCCACAGTGCTGCCGTCATCGCTGGAGATAAAACAGGCAACACAGTTTGGGGGAGCAGGCAGGACAACTGGGACGATGCAAAGGCAATCCAGAGAGGTCACCCCATAGATGCTTAGGTCAGTCCCCGATCTGAGGCTTTTCTCTGGTCCTTAAGGCAGCTTAGGCTAGGAGTTTACATTAGAACCCCACCATTTATCCTTAAACATTATTTTGGATAACTGTGCTTTAGTCAATTTTAGACTAAAATATTTCTAGTTTTCATTCCAGGATGTTGTCATTCACTTTCAACCAATCTTTCTTAGTATCTCAACATGCCAAGTTTTGAAAGAATCCTGCTAGGTTTTCTAAGCTTAATATTTAACCTAAATTAAATGAACTATTAATTGCATGTTTTTAATGCTAAAGCTGAAGGCTCTGTGTAGATTCACAAAATGCAGGCATGTAAGTGAAAAATACAGAATCCTAGAAATACAATAATTTCTGATGATTTCTTTCTGAATATTTTGATAAGGATCTGAGATTTTTGTGTGAGAAAAATAACAATATTCAGAGTTAACACTATAGAAAGTGTAGTAATTCTAAATTTCTGAAGATAATATCATTCCTTTAGGCAAGGTAGAAATATTATTTACCAAAATCTTCACACAGAATAAGTTAGAATAGCCTTTAAATAGTACATTAATATCATTAATTCCTAAAACCCAATATAAATATTTGTTATCATATCAGTACCAGTTTAACAAAGATATTTTTTTAAAGTCTCATACTTACATTGGCATCTTTCCCAGCTAATTTACATAATTCCACCCGCTCCTTTGCAGCCGGCCAATAAATCTGGAAAACATTTTAAATTTTGTTAGAATCCAATATCTAAGACACCCCACAATTCTAATTAGGGGAGTGAGCATGTGAATTTAAAGAGTGAATATCAAGCAACAAGTGTATTGTTAGATTTGATGTAAGAAGTTTATAACTTAAATATTTTCAGAAGTTGCCCAAAAAATTTCTGCAAAAAAATATGTAGGACCATCCACTCTTATTTTATTTACTTTTAAATGCACTTATTAATAGGTAAATTATGTTGATAAAGCCGTAAATTCCTATTAACATCAACAGGATTTCAGATTAGCATTTGCATAAGTAAGGGATTCTATTTTTTGCCCTGTTTTTCTGTGTTTACTAAGAGTGATAACATTATAAACATGTGCAATGAGGTGTGGGCAAGAGCCCTTTGTCACAAGCATACATTATGACTTAGTCCACGTCAAAAACCAGTGTGAGTCTGTTGACAATACAGGGTGTGGCAAAGTCAATCTTTAATTGTGTGTGTGGAAAGTAATAAAAAGATTATTAGATAATAATACAAGGAAAAAAACTCTGTCTCACATAGTCACAACCGTGAACCTACTTTTGCCCCACCCTATTTAACATGTATGGAGCTCAGATGCAACTGTCAGTAAGTTAAGCATTTCATGTGCATCATCTTATTTCAATTTCACAATGACCCTATGAGATAGCTGGACTTACTTTCCATTTTCATGTCAGAAAACATATTCATACAGTCATAAAATAATATGTGGAAGGCCACAAAACTAATTCACAGCAGAGCAAAAATATGACCCAAACTGTCTCCTGAACTTGCAGGGGGAAGGGGGTCCCAACCACCACACAATAAATATTATTGGGCAAGACCCGCAGTGTGGCTCAGGTGGTTGGGATGTCATCTGTGCAGGGAAGGGTTAAGGGTTCAATTCCTGGTCAGGGCATATAAATATTATTGGGCAAATAATTAAGAACAAGGGCAGCAAACTTCTTGGTTGGTAGCTTTTAATCATATTTTAATAGTCTTGAATGTATCAAAAGAGGGTTTTTTATTTTGTTTTTTAATTTTAAACAAACTGGAAATAATGTCAGGAAGTTCTTTTGCAAAATAAGGTTTAAAGAGGCAGATGCAGCACTCCATTGGCTTACAGAAAAAAAGGATCCGTGTTAAGCTATAGGCAAGAAGAAACAAGAAAAGCAAGCTCTGAATTGCTTATGTTCCAAGAGTTCCTGACAAACCTTTATTGTGTTTCTCACCAGTGTTAACAGAAATCATTTTAATAGATGCGGAAAAGGAAAATATCCCTAGGCAATGCACTGACAGAAACTTGTTAAACCTGGAATTAACAAATGATTTAGAAATCACTAATGTTTATATGATAGTATCTTCATAGTGAAATTCTAGGGTTTTATGTCTGAACAAGAAGGGCAGAGAATTATGCTCAAACTCTCTTAATAGCCATGATATCATGGAGATTTTTTAAATGAAGCAAGGCTGTTCATTCAGAGTACACCTGAACAACCTACAATCCAAAGGTGGACATAAGCAGCGTGGTTGAGCCAACTGTAGTTCAAATGGCAAGCTAACTTTCATATGGTTCACAATAAGGACCTAAAGGCGCTGTTTATTCAGGCATGGTTTACATCACTGCAATTACACTTTCACACAATTTTAAATAGTAGCCAGTACCAACACATGCATGCAAAGCAATGAGGATGGATTTTAACAATTCATTATTATGTGAGGGGGGAAAAAATGCTTCTTAAAATTAGTTTGTTCCCCTTAGAATGATGTTAAAAACAACTAAAATAAAATACAAGTTTTAGGTGAGTATACATAGACACAATCAGTATATAAAAAGAAAAGCATGAAAATGATGAATACATGATTCAGAAAGATACTTACCCAAGATTGAAAAATAAAATAAAGGGAAAATTGGTAGTAAAAAACAAGTTATTTATCATCTTTTAGCTTTTGTACTAGATGACACATTAATACATAACTAAAAACAGTTAAGTAATGTAAGTTAGTAAATAAGTAAACCAAAATAGTTCATGCACAGGTCAGTGGACAATAGTCATAACCTAGAATTATGAAGCCCCAAATAAATGAATAAATGAAAAGTAAAAATAAAACACTGCAACTAGCAGGAAACTTAAAATTTTCTTCAAGTTGTTTTTATTTATTTATTTTTATTAAGGTATTATGTGTGTACATATCTTACAATCCCCCCCTAGTTGTTTTTTATTGTGTGTGGGGGGTTTTTAAACCACTAAAAGAAAAATACTGAACTGAGTTTCTTTTTCTCTCCTTTAAAAATGGCATCTTGAATTTATAAAAATTTTGTTTCATATTTGATATTATGAACTCAAGCTATCCTCTCACTTTTTTCTTGCTAATTCTTTAAAAAACTTTTAATTATGATAAAGCATACATAATAGAATTTGCCATCTTAGTCACTGTAAGCATAGAGTTCAGTATTAAGCATATTCAGTTTGTAAAACTAATCTCCAGAATTCTTTCATTGGGCAAAACTGCAACAATATATTTATCCATTCTTAATTATCATATTCATTTTGCAAAAGATAGCTTTGTATCATTGGACTGAAGATGAATCATACAAAGAATGCATGTCTAGCATCTCTCAATTATTTTAATCTTTAGCTCATTTTCTGGTCTCTAGTCTATCGATAGATTAATATTTTTTGAGTCCTTTAGATATGTTAGATCCTATTATTTTTATTTTATAAGATGGTCAGATTTAATTACTTTTCAGAAACAAATTTAGAACAAGTATTTATAGATTTAGTCAAACCTGAATATCATATTGATATTAATAGCATTTAAAAAAGAGAAGTGTGGAACTCTTTCATATGAAGTAAATGAGACTTAAAGCAGAGAAAGGTTATGGATGAGTTAATTAAAGATTGACAAAATTTGAAAAACAAATCACTGTATCATTTAAAAAAATATTTTTATTTATTTTTTACAGAGAGGAAGGGAGAGGGACAGAACGCTAAAAACATTGATGAGAGAGAAACATCAACCAGTTGCTTCCTGCACACCCTCCGCCCGTAACCAAGGTGCATGCTATTGACAGGAATCGAACCTGGGACCTTTCAGTCCACAGGCCAATGCTTTATCTACTGAGCCAAACCTGTTTCAGCTCTCTATATCATTTTTGACACCCAATGAAAGTTCCCAAGTTACCATAGAGTAGTTACTGATCCTTCATCATTTGTGCATTAGGCACATGCCTATGAAGGCTATGTCCAGAAAGATGTGGCACTGAGGTGTTAAGATTTAAAAGGAAGACAGCTCTTTAAATAGGTGCAGGAACTGCATTCCTACAGAAGATACAAAGTGAGAAGAGAGCAGGGAGGACGGAGCCACTATGCTCAAGGAACACCAAAGAATGCTGAGCAAGAAACAAAAGTGTTGATCAGTCTTGGCATCTGAGCCAACATTTTTAATTACTTGCTCTTAATAGTTTCAACACTAATGTAATAGTTTAGTTTAATAATTTAAACACTAATTTTGTCTTAAGAACTTGACATTAAAATAGTGATTCTAGATTATCTTTTATCTAAAGTAGGGGTGTCGAACTCAATCAGAGAAGGGGCCAAAATCTAAAATCCAGCCTAAATCGCGGGCCGAATGGTTTACTGAACAGTCATAAACTGTCATTGTGATGGAAACACAGCGGAGTGCAGTGATGACAGCGCGGTGCGGGCCACATTGCAAGGCCTGGCGGGACGGATTTGGCCCGTGGGCCTTGTGTTTGACACATGTGATCTAAAGGAATACAAATATCTAAAAGATATTTTAATAGTTTTATACATTTTCAGTTATTGATTATAAGTCATCTATCTAATAAAAGAGTAACATGCTAATTGACCGCACCTTTATGATACCCACCAGCCAATAAGGAGTGAGTATGCAAATTAACCCAACAAAGATGTTGGGTTAATTTGCTTATGCAGGTGCCAAGCGGCGACGGACAGAAAGACTGCTCTGGCCACAGCGAAAGGCGGTGCCAGCAACCAGGGGAACAAAGGACCATTCTTGCATGAATCTTCATTTGTGCATTGAGCCACTAGTGTAAATATTTATTGCTTCATTAACTAGGATTTCATCCTAGTTAATGAAGCAATAAAACAAAAATCACAAGCTCCAGTGTGGCTCAGCTGGTTGGAGCATTGTCCCATACATCAAAAGGTGGCAAGTTCATGTCAGGTCAGGGCACATACCAAGGTTTTGAGTTCCATTTCTCTCTCTCTCTCTCTCTCTCTCTCTCTCTCTCTCTCTCTCTCTCTCTCATCAATTAAAAAAAAAAGTACACAAAAATGGGAATTTATTGGACTCCAGAAACCAATTTTTTTTTTAAATCTTCTATGTTCTGTTTATGGAGCAGACTTTTTACTAAGATGTTACCTCATTTTTCATCATTTACATTCAATCCATAAAGTCTAGTACCTGTTAAAAATATAAATTATCCTTGGAATATATATTATTACCTAGGTATTCTAAGGTAGTATCACAAAGATAATTTTACTTCTTAAGGTAAAGATTAGTAGGGATTACATACTGGCTTTTTTTTACACAAAGTTTTCAAGAATCTAGCAATCACAAATAAAATTACTTTAGTAACAACTACCTAGAAGATATCAGATTGCCTTCCAAACTCCAAACATTTACTTAAAAAGAAAAACCATTGTAGTGGTGTCAAAATTTAAAGATATAATTTTAATTTTGATTTATGTTGGGATTTTCTTTTATTTGCCACCTAGTCATTAGAATAAAAGGTGTTTTGTGTGTTTTCAGTATTCCTTTTGATTTCTTTTTGATAAAGAATTTAAAGAAACAGAATTTTTTTAATTCAATCTAAAAACAGAAGAAAATAAACACTCATACTTACATAAGGTTTGCAGAAATATGTTCAAATAACATTTGTTTTTCAATAATCTTATAAAGTGATTATGTGACATACCTCTTTCTCTATCTCTATATAAAAGCATTCCACTACTTTTATGATTTTCTAGTCAAAGCGCGCGCTCACGTGTGTGTGTGTGTGTGTATGTGTGTGTTTGTAGGGGAAAACACAATAGAGAAATAGACACAGAGATAGATTCATTGGTTCATAGAGGAATATATGGGGATGTTAACTCTGGAGGGTATAGGATATATAGCTTCAAGTTGCAGCATAATTATTATGAAAGTTCAAGAAGTACATCCTGAGGCTATTTCAATAGCCCAGTCAGTACACTTAGAGATTACTTTATTCTCAGACAGAAACCATATCTTACAATTAAAAATACAAGTTCACACGATCTGTAAGAGTCTCTCTTGAACATTAAGTAAACAGTTTTGAGGCAATGATTATCATTATTCTCATTACATTCTGAATTCACCTGTAGTAAAATGACCGATATATACATTTTCTTGCCGTGTACAGCGATATCGTGCCATATGAAAAGTTTCATGAAGTAGGACAAAACAAAGACTCATACCCTTCTCCCTAAAAGTTGATGAAGCTTAGCACAGTGGTGGTATCAAAAAGTCCATGCAGCTGTGCTCCCTGGGAAAGTTACCCACGAATATTTTTCTTTCACTTATCAAAGAAAGGCATAGTAGGAGTGAAGATGCCTCTTGCACAATTGCCATATTTTAGTTGTCCTGAAATATTCCCACACAATTTAGGTGAGGAGCAATCGCTGGGACCTTGGAGCTTAGATATCAAACTAAATCTGTAGAAAGCTTTTTGCTGCTCTCTCTGCCCACATGCAGGAGACATCAGAAATCAAGCAGAACTCTGTGGGTCCAGATGAGCCCAAGAATCCCACTCAATATAACTATCCAGGGTGTAACCATTAATTTTACCACTACTAAGTAATTAAGGGGCTGCAAACTGGTATTAATTTTAGTGCTAATCTTACAGAGCAAATTGATATCAGAAAACTAGGGAAATAGAGTAAATAAATTTATAATTGCAAATTATAAATTCTCCACTGGGAAGTGATAATTTCTGGCATTAATATTTTAAAACAAGTATGTTTGTTAAGTCAGACCCAATATCTTATAACCTGTTGGGATGTTTATTTTCGTAATATTTCACAATTGACATGAATTACTTCAAAAATAATTTTTACACTTACACTTGGATGAGTCAAATAGGAACCTAAAAAAACTAAATATGTAGTGTCCTCTGCAATAGCCCATATACTAAAATTAGAACCATACACAGATTAGCATTGCCTCTGAACAAAGATAACACACACACTCATGAAGCATTCCATATTTTTAAAAGAATGTGAGTATTATAAATATGTATGTGTGTTTTTTTCTTTTAGTTATATAATATAGACTTACCAATATGAGAGAAACCACTGTAATAAAATTAAGTGTTTTCAGTCATTTAAATATGTTTATTTGATTTAAAGCTTTATATTTTAAACACATTTTTGAAAGAGATTTGGTATTAATTTTCTAATGAAACTATAGTGGGAGCTACATGTTTTAAAATACAACCTTTGATCTAGCTACCTTATGCTGATTTTATTTGCTTATATTAATCCAAAATCCAAAATAGTATCATTTTTGTTTTTTGAAGCATTCTGCTTCATATTGAATACAAATAGGCAGAAGGACCTCACAAGTAAAAAGCTGCAATGTCCCTAACAATTATCGTTTCATTCATAATTTTTATAATTCATTAAACAGTTAGCATTTGATAAGGTGAAAACGTTGGGCAATTTATTTTTAATTATTTAATTTTAGGCAAGTTACAAAAACATTCAAATAGTGATAAGGCCTTATAACAACATCCTTAGGAAATTCTAATTATATCTGGTCTTTGTTTCATCTTTGGAGACGCAATTTAATTGACTCAAGTTCCTAAGTGCAAGGTCAGTCAAATTCTCTTTGGCCTAATTCAAAGAGAGGCCAAAAAAACTGAATAGAATACAAAAGAGGAAGTTACAATTTCTTCATAAACCTAATTAAACACACAAAAAATCAGAGTCATAAAAATGCAAGGGGCCATCTCTGTCAAAGAACAGGATCCAAGTTGCGGAATGGTTGCAAAGAAGTGGGAAACATGTTGCTTGTAAATGCCAAATGGTTACAAGCGTTTGAACAGCCCAGGGAGCAATGATTACTCTAGGGTTCAAGTACAGAGAGGTAAGAGACCCGAGCTCAGAGACTGACTCCTGAACAATAAGGACAGGAGCACCAAAGGAAAAGCTTGCATAATTAAAACTGGTTGGAAGAGACATTTTTATAGATCGGAAGGTTAAATTCTCCAGGTTGGGGTCCAATCTGCCCATGTAGCTTTCTTCACGAAATCTTAGGTGAGAAGAGTCTTTTCCTTTCTTTCCATAGGACTTGGCTCAACATTTCTTTTACATTTTAGTTTTTCTCCCCCAACCATCTTGGAATTCAAATACACTTGTGTTTATCATATCTATTTTCCACTTTCTCTTTGCAATTCAGTTTGGGATCATTTCCCAGACATAATGATTAATGAGCCTGGCCCACGTGGCTCAGTTGGTTGAGTGTCAACCTATGAACCAGGAGGTAATGGTTCAATTCCCGGTCAGGACACATGCCCGGGTTGTGGGCTCAATCCCCAGTAGGTGGGTGTGCAGGAGGCAGCAAATCTATGGTTCTCACTTCACATTGATGTTTCTATCTCTTTTTCCCTCTCCAATGAAATGTGGTGGAATTCAAGTTCATGAGTTGGAGTCCCTACCATACTGCTCATTAGCAGCTAACGCTGCATTTTCCAATATTATCTCAGTGCCATCCTCAGAGTGAGCTTGCTCTTTCTGGAATACATCTGAACTCCTCTGGAAGGTCCCTTCCTGGAAGGGTCCACGTGTATGTCACCAGTCCAGAAAGGCCTTCTCCGAAAACCAACCTAAAGTAGTTTTTCAAGATTATTATATACATTTTTTTAAATAACACTTAACGCTAAGTGATATTTTCTTATTTGTTTCCTTTTCTCTTCTCTATCACCCTCCATTCCCATCCCCCTGAGATGTAGAGGCACCCTGAAAACAGAGGCCCTAAATGGCCTTAGTCTCCCTTATATCCCCAGCATCTAATAGAATGCAGGAGATTCAATAAAGAAAGTGAGAGAAATGCTCTTGCATCATGCCAATTAAAAGACACGTTAAGGAATCCACAAACGGCCTGGTGATTTTGAATATGTGGGGCAATTACGTCTGTGGCTAGATTTCAACACTTTGTAAGGAGCACAGTCCACCGTCTCCGTTATCTTCTTAAAGGAGGATATGACTCACTGACGTTCCCCGGTCACTGCTCTTGAGTGACAAGGCATGTTGCTTCTCCTTCCTACCCTCCTCAGCACCAGGGCACGGGATCACATGCATAATAAGTATTCATTAATTCCTGCAGAGCGATCTGCACAGCTTCCCTTCGAGTGGAGACGGGGTTCTTGTCACAGTCCTGGCAGCCGCGGGAGCAGCCTGACAGCGTCCTGACAGTGGGTTACAGTGACCAGATGGGGCTGCACATCGGCACCGCGCCGGGGCGCAGGCACAGCCATGAACAAGGCGATTGTTCCACCTCCGCGGTCGCAGGCAGCATGTGCTCCGCAGGCAGCAGGGCGGATTAATCACCGTGAAGCTAAGCAGGGTGCCTTACACCAAACGTTCATTTATTGCGATGTCCGCATGGTTTCCAAGGGTTTACATTTTCTTCATTTCTCGTATTGATTAAGAATTAAAAGGATGGCTATCTTTTTTTTTTATCAATAACTTGATTTACAATAAAATGTTTATTCTGAATCTTTCCCTCCTATATAATAGACTTACAGGGTAAGGCATAGGATGGGAATGTCACCACCAAGTGAGTCACTGATTCATAAGTAAATTCCTGCTTACACTCGATAGAAAGAAAGCAAGTACAGGATCCTTGTGTATGAAAACCCTCTTGTTTTAGAGTTCCTTCAGGACAGGAAAATAACTAAGTCCTTTTCATGCTGCACAGGGATATGGGTGTTTAAATATTCCACTGAAATTTATTATGTTTAAAATTACATACTGTCTTAGTTTAGTTATTTTCCTAATAAAATGCCTTAAAATAAGGCAAAGTTTGAGGAATTTCAAATAATCTGACTAATTTTTTGTAATGACATACCTCGTTTTCATGTTCAGTTAGAAGAAATAGAATAATTCGCTTTTGATGGCTAAGTGGAAGAAAAAACAGTTGTAGATGTAGAAATTACTTTTTGTTTTTGTTTTACATTCTGCTACATTAAAAAAAAAAGCCAGGCCTCTAAGTTTATTCAATGTTTCCTTTTAAATAATTCTGATTTTTTATTTATTTTTTTATTAAATAACCAACAGAGTGTAATGTGAGGAGCTAAATTTTAGCCAGGTGAAATTGTCTTGAGTTATCCATAATAGTGGACTATGTAAAGTACATATTGCTATGGTATATTGTTTTCTCATTTTAAAACCAGTAAGAAAACTTCCTTTCCATATCCCCCACCCCACAAAAAAAAAAAAATATATATATATATATATATATATATATATATATGTGTGTGTGTGTGTGTGTGTGTGTGTGTATGTATATATATATATATATATATATATATATAAAATAAATGTAAATTACTTAAAATAAAAATTTTTAAGTATTATACTGCTTTTGCCTTTAACACCATAAGTTTGACTAGAATGTTTTTGTTGGGTGGGGCCCAGTTAAAGATCTTTACATTTGCTTAGCTAACATAGCAATTGTTTGAATATTTTATGTGCAATATTCAATGTTGAGAGTTTCAAATGAAAAAATTAAATTAACAAAATAAAAAGGAATAAATATAACTAAGTATTATCTCAAAGTGACAGTAAACTATTTAAAGATTAATTTTGAAGATTATTTAAAAATGGATCAATATTTCTCCTACAATTTTTATCTAGATGCTTGGTTATAGCTTAGCTTTGCTGAAGCCCAACAAAATACAACTTTTGAAAAGTATGGGAAACAAGATATAAAAGAGCAAATGTTTGGACTGAAGTTATTAAAAGCCAAAGGGTAAACAATATAAATAAGTATATTAACATTCTCCCTTTGGTTCCACTGTGTACACTTCAGGAATGATATACAATGAGCTCACCCATTACATTTGGAGGTAGAGCAAATATTCTTTTGAGTGCTCATTTTATGGCTTATATAGTATAGCAAGATTTTAAAAGAGAAGTTTTAGCTGAGAAAAAAAAATTCAAAATGCGATGCAAGCTCAAGATGCACAAATTTTCAAAGTAGGAGGCCAAGAATCACCAATTTCAACAAACTATAAAATAGTTGGAATCTTGAGAAAGATATTTTATCTGAGACAGATGTGTTATGTGTCCTACTACCCCTATGGAGAGAAATAGGTGACAGGGAAGGGGGCTTTGCTGGGACTTTAAGAAGTGCGTGATACTGCTCATGGAGTTCCTGGGAAATTGTGGTCTAATATCTAATGGACAGAGACTGACAAGCTACAATGAAAACCAAGAACAGGCTCAATGGCTATTATGGTTATCAGCCTGAACTTCCAGAGTGTGTCCAGGGAAATGCATATGACATGTCCTATGGAACAGATGGGAGTCATGCTCACTTAAAAACTGGATGGCATGAGATCACCTTAGTTCCTACCAAAGAGTGCTGAGAGAGGGTTTCAGAAGTTAACACCTGGAGAAATTGCAATCTGTTGCAGGAGAAAGAAGAGAACATACCAGTCAGAGGAGAAATGCAGTCATCCTTGTCCAGAGAACAGCAAGGAAAAGAACTCCAAAAAGTATAAACTCTAAGAACTCACAAAGGTGAAAGATGTTACCCTTAAACATCAGACAAGGCCAGAAAGTTGAGAGGTTCCTGAGACAATGACAGTAGACACTCCTATGAACACTCTCCCCTTCCCTTATCCTAATTTGGCTCCAGAGGCGTCATACACTGTGGTTTACAAGCTTCGGGAAAAGGAGGAGCATTAGGTGGAAGAAGCCTCTGAACATCCCCCTGTGCTGGGACAGGTAGAGGGAGAGGAGGTTCCATTTTAAATGAGGTTGGAAGTTTTGTTACATTAGACTGGAACTTTGAATTCCTGATAACAATTGTCTACACTACTTAAGGGTGACCTCAAAAGCCAAGGGCATGCCCTGGCCAGTGTGGCCCAGTTGGTTGAGCATTGTCTTGTGCACTGAAAGGTCATTAATTTGATTTCCAGTCAGAGCACATACCCAGGTGTGGGGTTGAATCCAAAGTCAGGATGTGTAGGGGAGGCAACTGA